GGCCACTAACGGCCTGTCACTGTCAAGCCGGCAGCGCCCGGGGTCGAGGCCAGCCGGGAGGCGCGAGGCAGGACGGGGTGGGCAGGGCGTGTCCCCTACCTTGCTCCGGGGAGGGGGGACGGGAGCGGCGCGGAACTGAGGGGTTTCCTCCCAAGCGCCGGGTACGGGGCTCGAAACCGCGCCCCTCCTTCCTCCTCGCCCGTCGCCACGCCCCCCTCACCCGCACGGACCCGAGGCCCGGTCGGCGCAGGAGGGTTTACCCCCTGAACGAGTGCCTCTGCGTCGCCGCCGCTGTCGTCTCCGCCTCCACTGCAACCGCCAGGAACGCCGCCGAGGCCAGGCTTGAAAACATCTCCGATCTCAGTCCGTCTCTCACCACAGCCTCCTCGCTCCCAAGGCAGCGCCGTCAGGCGATTGGCTGGGGTGCAGGCACGTGACTCCGCGGACACGGGACGGGCAGCGTGACCGCCCCGCCCCCGGCGCCACCCGCCCCTTTTCTCCGTCCCTCCCCGCGGCCCCTCCGCCGCCGCTCTTTCAGCTCCTGGAAGCGCCGCAGGGCGGGGGAGTCGGGCTGTACCACAAGAGGGCGGCGGGGGTTCTGGCCGGAACTCCTGCCGACGTGCCCGGCCCTCTCCACCTCACCCGGGTGTCACCGCCTCCTCTCCGCCGTCACCCGCCCAAGAAGGAAAAAGAATCAAAGGGTGGGCCAGGAACGCAGCGCAGGCGCCACGGACGCTTCCGGGCCAGCGAGCTCTGCCATCACGTTTTGTGGCGACCGTGGCGGGGCCTGTGACTGGAAACTTCTGGAAATGGCGGCGATGAAGACTCTGTGTAGGGTATCCATGTTATTTTTGCCGGGCTGAGTGGACGCATACAGGGGTTCGGACGGGGTAAAGCGATGCTGAACTGGAGGCAGAGATAGGGTGTCTGCCCCCCGAGTCTCTCGGTGGCAGAAGGCCGGTCCCACGCCCTTGCTTGCTCCGTCGTGCGCCTGCGCGCCGCGGTCGGGAACGCACCTGCGCTGGAACTCACCGGGGCGGACGAGGACCCGGAGCTCCGCCTAACTGGCACGCGCGCGTTCTCTGCGCCGGGGGAGGGGCGGTGGTGGCCCAGGACCCGGCCGGCCAGCCAGCACGTATTCGGACACCTGCCGGGGGTTTGGGGATGGTGGGGGGGGGCGGGAGGGGGAGGCTCAGATTCCCTATACTACCCTCGCTCCCATCTTTTTTTCTTCCTTTCTCTTGATGTGACCTGTTAAAAAATGAAAAGTGCTTCCACATCTGAGATTGATTTGGTGTAACTGCTCAGGTGGAGTGTGTGGAAAATTTGCTGTCCTGGCGTGCTAGCCGCTGATATTCCCACTTCCTTTAGAAGCTTGTTATTTACAGGGAGGTTAATCTGCGACAATTTGTGCATGCCTTTAACCAACGAAGGGGTTACATAATCTGAGGGAAACCTTATTCTCACTCCGTTTTGGGAGCCATTTATTTGCATCGAGGTTAATCTTCTATTTATACAAACCTTTAACCACTTGGGATTATGTAATTAGAGACAAACCATCCTCAGCAGTGGTCTCTAAATTCTTAAAATACCCACGTGTGATTTAATGAGTGCAGTTACAAATTTGTCAGCACAGATGAGACTTAAGAATTGAGCAAAAAGCTTAAAGTTCAGAGCTGCTTTTTATAAAACATAAGATTGTTCGTTTTTCCTTTAGCGTTAATGAGAGCACCCTGTGGCTAGAGGTGGAGCATTGTTGCATTTAATCTGGACATTTATAGCCAGAAATACAGAGGGGGAAACCCCACTAAAAATTGAACCAGATTTGACAACTCTTTACAAATCTTTTGAGTTGATTTTCGATAAGTAAAATAGTATTGATGGCAATAGCTATCAAAATTCAAAGTTCCTCACTTCAAAATTGAAAGCTAGCTAATCTGTATTTGCTGAATTTAAAATTAGCCATAATTTATGGCAGTACCTCCAGTGAACACGTTAAGACTCAAGTCAGTTATGATCAGCTTAATTACTGACTGTAAAAGAGAAGTTCAGTACAGAATAAATCATTGGGGAAAAAAGTTTTAATGTTCATACATGGTAAATTATAAATCAGGCTGGCCCTCCCTGGTGGTGCAGTGGGTGAAAGCACAGCACTAAGAAGCTAAAGCCACTTCAAGCATGAGTTCTAGCCCCATCCCGGAGGTGACCCACATGGCGTGGCAGGCCTTTCCTTACCTGCCTGCTCCCTGCTCCCCTCAGCAGTGTACTTTTGCCAGTCTGCCTGTTCTGCTCCCTACTCTTGTCTCTGGTGAATCCTCTCACCGCCCCTGCACCTCTGGCCTGTACCCCAGTTCTGTAGGCATAAATAAATAAATCTTTTAAAAAAAATTATAAATCAGTCACAATTTGTTATTTGAAAGGTTCAGATGAAACTTAAGCAAATTTCATTAAAATTTAAAACAAAACCTGGCATTAGATTCTTTGCCAGGTGCCTAAAGGAAAATGCGGAGGAATAAAAAGGTCCCTTTGCTTTCTGTGACCTTGAATTTCCTGGTAAAAATGCCATAAATTCTTCACCACTGAAAATGTGAAAAGTTGAAGTCTTGCTGATTTTTGCCATTAAATCTCATTGCTAAGCAACAGTCAGGAACTGAGAAGAGGAAATGAGAGAATGAAAGGTGGTAAAAATACAAACAAGCCCTCTTCTATTCTACTTGTTTGAGAAATAGGCTAGAATATAGCATCATCTCCAGCTCCCTATAACTGGGAAGAAAATTTTAATCATTGTGTTTATATTTTTGAATTTTGTTAGTGGGATTTATCTACCAAGAATTTTTAAAAGCGAATGAGGAAAACTCATTAAAACAAATTCTCTGCATAAAATTGATGAATTTCAAGGAAATAGACAAAAACAAGATTCAATTGAGGATGCAGTACAATGTAATCAATGTATTGATAATGGTACAGCATGCCTGTAGTTGTAACAAATTTTCTAATCTTAATTAACTCTTAGGCTGATAATCAGTGTATACCTTGTATTTTCCACCCAGCATCTGAGTTGTCAAAGTGTAAGAGTCTTACAAAAATCACAAGTAGTGTTAATAATGAAGTACCTGTTTTTCCATAACTTTAAAGAAAAGTTTAAGAGTTAACAAAGAGAAGATAGCCAGTTATGTATGTTCTATTTTAACAAAGGATAAAAATAGTCAAAGTAGTTGCCTATAGCGGAAGAGCTGAAGAGGGCTCTATGTGGAATGGAGGTATTATTGTTACTTTTTGTGCCTTTTGAAAAATTAGTTATTGTGTACAATTGCAGATAAAAATATTTTAAAGACACTCTTAAATAATTGTCTTTAAGTATCACAATTACTGTTCAATAATTGTCACAAAAGCAAGACCAATGACTGTAAAATCCTACAAGTGGATTAATTTAGATTTATCCCCCTATATTAAAGTTGGCTATAATTTTCAACATTCAAAAATAACAGTTTCTTGAACCAGATATAATACATAAAAGGTTCTCTTCTTCTAACCTGTAATATATATTCAGCTGACAAGTATATTTGTATGCCTGCTCACTGATCTTTCCAACTCGAGTGTACTACCATTTTTTTTTTTAGTTAAATCACTCGTCAAAGGCACCACCTCTTCAATTTTCCTCTTGATTAATTTTTAAACACTTGCGGTGTCAGAATATGCAAGGATAAAGTGAAAAGTTTTTTGTCTTTAAAAGTTAAACAATACTTCTAGAGAAAACTACCTTTTATCATTACAACTACAATCTGCTTGAGGTTTTACATACCTGACTGAAATACAGCAACAACTGTGTGCTGTAAATATAAAAATTAAGTAAAGGGAGGTTTATAGAAAGAGCATGTTAACTTAAGACTTGGCTATGGGTAAAATGGGAAAGCAAAAATGTATATGACTGAACTTTTCCTTTTAATAACCTAATATAACTGATAAAAGTGAGCCTGTCTTGGAAATGGGTAATACTCAATCAACTAAATAGTTCTTGTTATGGAAGAATGTCTTCATATTAGTAGATATCAAAAGACTTTAAAATGGTGTTTTGAAGCATTAACATGGCACATACAGTTGCCAGTTACAAGTTATCAATGTGTATAGAGAGCACAATAAACAATCTAAAACATTTATGTACACAGGTGATTCATACTTTATTCTCCAACAATATATTTACAGTTGAATATAAATTAAAGGCCTGCTTGCACACCAAAGCCAGGCCCTTTGGGTGGTTCAGTCAAAGAGGTCAGACCCCCAGCTGGCTCACATGAGAAGCGTCCACTCCTGAGGAGAAAAATTGGTAATGTTAAATTGACCCACAATCTGCTTTAAAAATCTTTTACCTTACAACAGCCCAGTTAAATAACTATTTCCCCCCACTCCCCAAAAATTGGCACAGACTATTTTTAGTTCAAACATTTCAGCTGCTGCAAGACAGTCTCAATGTTAAATTTTCTATTTTCATACACATAAAAACTTTTCATAAATATGGAAAGAAAAAAAAACAGCCACTAAGTCTGGCTCCCATTTGTTGAGACATGAACACTTTATTAGCTTATTTAATCTTTATAACAATGTCTTAAGACAGGTAATAGGCATTTATTTTACAGAACCTAAGTATTAGAAGATTTGCCATCTGCATAAGTATCAGAGCTAAGAACTATGGCAAGAATAACCCAACACTACAGACATCTTTTAAAATCATGTTTTAGTACTTAAGTAAGTATACTACATGTTTATTTCTTTCTGTATTTAACTGTTACTTAGATCAAGATCCCTGTTACAGTGAACATAAAGGAATACACACTTAAATGCTGTGTTAGGATATAAAAATTACACTGAATTCCCTTAGAAATTTGAAGATTTGGGAGGCTGTCCCGTAGAAGTGGTGAAGGCAAAATCTACTTGTATTTATGTTCTAAAGGTTTTATTGGTAATATATTTTTTAAAAACACCCTGATTCTGAACCAGGGTGACTGAGTATAGTAAAAATAGAAAATAAAGACAGATAGTGATGCAGGAAAATACAGTCACACCGGTAGAAGAACCTGTCTTTTTCTTCACCTCCACACATATTCGTCCTCAAATTGCTCCATCACTGCCCTGTCTAAACTCTGCTGCTGGAGTTCAGCTCAGCACCTACTCTTATTTCATCCTCCTTATTCCCTGGCTTTGTTAATTTACCTTGTTCCTGCACCAGACTTAAGCTGAAGAATGTGTTCAGTTTCTTTTTACTCCCTCTGGCTTTGTTCTTCATGTTCTTTCATAAAGGTATCTTATATTGTGCAAAATTCTAGGGAGTGCAGATAATATCTGAGATGTAAAAAATAGAGGTAGGCTACAAAATATACAAAAATATAGGTGGTTGCTGGTGAACAACTATGGAGAATAAAATCACTTAGTTTTTTTAATACTAAAAATAGAGCAGTGGTGGGTATTTTAGCAATATTAAAATAATAAGCACTAAACTTTAATAACTTCTTTATAAAACTAAGAATGAGGAATTCAAATTGGATTTTAAATTGATTTAATAATTCATATTAAAAATAACTTCTATTATAACTAGTAAGCAGGTTTAGAAGTTATTTTCAGCACTTTTAACCGAAAAGAACAATCAGAGCACAAATATTAATATCAAAAAGTATCTGTCTTACCATTGGTTTAATGTTTTCCTTCTAGATATTATTTACTGAAAGTAACTTACAAAGCAGTTCTGAGCCACATAGGCAGCTATCTTTTACTAATTTTGGCCAGGATAGATTTGATAATGGTACTCAGAAATTACTTTCTAATAAACCAGTTTTTCTCTCAATTCAGATTTACAGTGATCACTTCTTTCAACTGAGTGAACAAAGAGCTTTATTATACAAGTACTAAAAAAGTATTAACCAGATTTGGTTTATTTCAGGAATAGCTGTAACTGCATTTCGATTATTACGCTATCATTCTAGTTTCTCTAATTATCCTATATAACCAAAAAAGATTTATTTGGGAAAGGTAAAGTAGTTTTTATATGCTGAGAAGATACTCTAGACTCACCATGCCCAAATATAAACCTTATATATTGGTGGACATTCTGTTATTATTGAAAAATAACTTCCGCTTTTTAAATAAGAGGAAATAAGTAGAAAATACAAATAGGTTCAGAAAGCTGAAATCTAGAACACAGTTAAAAAAAAAATAGCCCCAGTAAGTATTTACAATTACTGATAAACAACATTCCTATTAGATATTGAAAATGCTTAACTGTGGACTTTGTTTCTGTTTATTCATGTTAAAATAGAATGGTCTGTTATATTAAAAACAGCAACAAACTCTAATTTCACCCCCGGTGGTTTCTTCCAAGCTTACAGACTTAAATATCTTTTACATGTTTCCAGCCCTAATCTATGCCCTGAATTCTGGGTTCATATTTTCTTTTAGCATCCAACCATCATGGATGTATAAGAGGCATTTTGAACTTACCATGTCCAAAACTAAGTCACTTTTTCTTCCTTATACTTGCTCTACTCCCTATCTTCTCTATTTTAGTTAAAAGTACTGAGGTGCTCAGACCAAAAAAAGCAATCACTTATGATTCCTCTACGCCACAACATCAAGCAAATTTTAAACTTGTCTTCACACAGCAACCAGGACACTTATTTTTAACCAGATTATTCATGTCAATCCCTACTGAAAACATTCCAGTAAGAGTTTCCTACTAGATTTGGGATTTACCCAAATTAATTATGTGGACTACTACCTATGCATCTTGCAGTTTCCAAACACTTTTCTCCTCCATCAACTCACTATAATCATACTGTACTCTTCTGTTTTTTTCTCCACACCTTAATACATATTCTTTACCCTCCCTGGAATAGTGTTCCTCCACTTCTTTATGTGGGTCCTGAAGTCATGGCTCTAATGTCCCACCCTCAGAAAGAAGTCTTTGTTGATTTACCTACAATCATTTGCTATCTTTAACTCTGCTTTATTTCTCTTCACAGCACTTGTCACTCAGATACTATATTAGTTGTCTTCATTCCTATATGAGGATTTTGCCTTCTTTATAATTACTTGTACAATATAAAATAGTACATACTACAGGCACTCCAGAAATACTTGTGAAGTAAACACTGAGGGAACACAATAAAACAAACTACTTTTGATAGATTAATGCTGGCAATATTAGGATTAATCGATCACAATGTTCGTAAGAAAGGAAGCAAGCAGTAAGTTTCAAATACTAAAATTATAACTACAGAATTTTAAACAATCAGAAAAGGGACATCTAAAGAAATCAAGTGGATTTCATGTGTAATGAGATATTTAAAACAAGTAACCCCCAAAATTGAAAGAAGCTACAGGTTTAGTACAAATACAAGAGTAACAGTAACTTATTTTAAAACATCTGAGTTTTTAAAATTAGCTGAATCTTGTAGAAAATATTATGAACTTTGTTTTGGCCCTAAAAATTCAAGTGTGGCCCAAGAAGAAAGTTACTAGGGAGAGAATGCTATATACCTCTTGAGGAAAACTATTCAAGTTGAAAGTACACACTTCTTAGAAAAGAAAGTTATAGTCAATAAGGACTATCTTGCTTTTACTATAAACTAACGTTGAGCTCATTTTCTTTTAAGGCAGAGTTAGTGATCTACCAGTACATTAGGTACTTTTAGAGCAGACTATAGACTCATACCTTCTCACCTAGTAATTCAATGTTAGGGAATTGTTGTTTATGCAAGAAATAAGAAAATGTATTTTAAAATGAGAACAAAGAACACTTGTTTAAAAAACACTAGAATATGTCATTAAAACCTACAAATATGTTAAAGAAGTGAAATTTTATATGACAAGAAAAAAAACACAAAGGGATACAACTATATAAAAACATGCAAACCTTAGCTCATGTCAAGAAAGAATTTCAAATGAAGTGAACACACAGATATGGAATAGGGATTTGCTTAACAACAAAAGTTCAAGTTCATAATTAAAAGAAAACTAATTGGCACAACAATTAAAGGATGGGATGGGAACAACCTGGATAAACAGTATTTAAGTTGAAACAGGCATTAATTCCAAGTGCATTTAATGGTGTAATGTATGCTGAACGAGAGTTGATGTAATTAGACCTTGAGATTCCAGGTACAATGTCTTGAACAAATGAGACAGCCCTACAATGCTTCACCATGTTCAGCACATATCCCAAATACTGTGATTAATTTAAATAATATATTTAGTCAAACCTACAGATCAAATTAGGCAAAAACTATGATAGAAAAACAAAAGTAATGTCCATGTTAAACCTAAGAAAAAGATACAAGGGATACAAAATAGCAGTCATTTGGAAAAGGTATGAAAATTATCTTGTAATTTTTCAAAAGGAAGAACTGGCTCTTTAGAAATTACAGTGAGACTGAGTCACACTCTTTTATCAGCATGAGTCTTTAAACAATGGAATAGATTTCCATTTGTCAGTAAATTTCCCATCTCTATAAATACAATTAGATGTCTGATTCTTATCTGACATGTTTCTACAGGAAAAAAAACTGTTTTAGATGACAAATTAGTTTAGACATTATCCAGTGTTCCTGCCAACAGAATTCAGGGTATACATTTTTTGAAGTTTAGATGAAAGACTAATTTAGGTTAAGCTGTTAAATTTTGTTATATAAATATAAAAGCATACCTTGGTCCAGGTTTTGGCATTTTGCCAGCCTTGAGTTCATCAATAATTTCTTCAATATCCTTAGGTGTCAGATCCTCCTAGAGAGAAAAAAGTTTAGTCAAAGCTACAGTTACTTCAAATACTGTGTGATCTCACTTATATATACATCTGAAAATAAAATATAATGTTGATTATACCTAAAATTTTTAAAAAGCAATAAAATTATTTTATACTGTTAAAATCTTAGATCTAAGTGACCCAACCTTCCAAAGTTTGTTTCTTCATTTATAAACCTACTTGGGAATGTTTCTGAGGACTAAATGAGAAAATAAGTAAAATAGTGCCATGCACATATTCAACAAGTGCTGGGTTCCTGAAGAAAAGAGGTGTAAATAAAAACTAGTAACATCAGTCATAATAATTAAAAAATAGATGCCTAATATCTCCTCCCTAACTTAAAGACCTTAATTTCTGACACATTTTTTGTAATGGTCTTGCCTTTCCAATCACCCTTTCAATCAAAGCAAGTTTTAAATTTACTACACTGTACTCCTGCCTAAAATTTTCATCTTAAGAAAGAATTCAGCAATTTAAAGAAAGAAATACAACTAAAACAGAGACACTTGTCTGTATACATAACCTAGTGTGAACATTAGGTTTAATCAAAAGTCAGTTACAACAGAATGGGCAATATTACAATCAAAGATATCTAATATTTATCCGCTTGCCCCCTCCAAAACTGTGAAATATTTAAATATGTTTTGTTGAGAAAATTTTGGTTCTATATTAGAGAAATTATGATTCTTACTGTTATCTAGCCATACAGAATGTCTTTCGTATTTCCTGGATGACTAAGTATTTATAAATATAAAAGGCTGCTTTAAAACTGTTAAAGGATAACAGGCTTATGGTTACAGATACTCAGAACCTCATAGCTAGAAGGTATCTTTAGTCACTAATAATTTTGTTCCCCAAATCTTTATTATGAAAAATATAAAAACTACACGAGTAATCACATCCCTAGCATCTGAATTCATCAATTTTAAAGTTTGCAGCATTTTCATGTTGCCTTTTTTCCCTGGTTGTATCATTAAAGCAAGTTGCAGGTATTGTAATAGTTCATCCCTAATAATTAACAGTCATCTCTGAAGAATGAGAAAATTTTCTTATATAACTTAATGCTATTACACACATATGTAACATTAATTTATTAATAAAGTCAAATGTTAACTCCATATTCAAATGCAGCCAATCATCCTCAAACTGTATCTGATTAACAGTTATTTTCCTACACAGAAGCCAACCAAAGTTTATGTGACCATTTCATTTTACCCACTGCTCAAATGAGATATGTAAAAGTTAGCTGCCTGGGTGCCAACCACAACTGGCCTCAATGAGCCTCAGGGTGAGTTGCACAGCTGCCTCAGGGTGGCCCCAGTTTTGTACAATAGCTACACTGAGGAACCTGGCCTGGATGAACTTCAGCAGGGTTGGTTCCAGCATCACCCCACATTCGAAAGTCCAGGTGCCATCCTAACCAACCAGTAAATACCTAGAACAGTGGGAGAGGAAGACCTATACCAACAAAAGCCCACGTCTAGAGTAGCAGAGCAAACCCAAAACAAACAATGGGAAAAAATAAAAATAAAAATTGCTAAGCAAGTCCTCGGGAGAACCAAGTCACAAATACATGGAAGACATCAGATACAGAATTGGAAATTATCATAATTAAGAAAATAAAAGAATAGGTATAATACAAAGACAATCCAGACAAGCAGCTCAGAGATATGCAAGAAAAGTTGGAAAAGAAATGACTGTTATTAAAAACAATGAAAAGAACATGAAATTAATAGAATTGGAAGATGTAGAGCCAGTCAATGGAGATGAAAAATTCTGGAGAATATAAAAAGAATAAACCAAAATGTAAGATCAAATCAGAAGCATTTTGAAAATTATCTGACACTACAAGGAAAAGGGTGCCCACAAGAAGAAAAAGGGAAAGGGAACTGAAAATTTATCTAAAGAAGTAATTACTTTAGAAGGCCCTACCTGGTGGTTCAATGGGTTCAAGTGCAGCACTGTGGAGCTGGCCACAGCTGCTTCAGCCCAGTTCCAATCCCCAGTGAGGGGGTTGCCCACATGGTGCAGCAGACCTCTCCTGTATCATCAGCTGCTCCCCTCAGCCATGTGCACTGTCAGTTGGTCTGTTCTCCCCACTCTGTCTCTGGTGAACCCTCTCAATGCCCCCTGAATCTCTGGCCTACACCCCAGTTCTATATGCATAAATAAATAAATCTTTAAAAAAAAATAGTAGAAAACTTCACTTAAAGAAGCTAAATATACCTGAAGACTTCTCTAAAGAACTGCTCTGGGCAAGAAGAGAATGGAGAGACATACATGAAATACTCCAAGATAAAAAAAGAAGGCCAACCAAGAATACCCTATTTGCAAAGATCTTCAGATAAGAGAGAAAAACAAAGTTCTTCTCAGACACATAGAATCTTAGGAGTTTGCAACCACTAAATAACCCCTCCAAGGGTGCTATTTTAAAATATTAAAAGGAGCTGTAGGGTCCTCCCTGGTGGTGCAATGGGTTAAAAAAGCACAGCACTATGAAGCTATATGCTGCCACTGCAGCATGAGTTCAATTCCCGACCAACTAGGTGACGTGTCTTGGAAGACCTCTCCTGCCCTGCCCACTGCTCTCTCAGCAGTATAGTTCAGTAGATATACCTATTCTGCTTCCCATTCTCTCTGCTGACTCCTCTCATCCCACCGACCTTTGGCCTATACCCCAGTTCTTGTATGCATAAATAAATGTTAAAATAAATAAAAAATAAAAGGAGCTTTAGTATTTAAACCAAAGGAGGAATTAATATAAAGAACTGAACAAGGAATTAAATAGAATCACAAAACTAGAACAAAAGGGCAGTAGCAGACTTTCATATATTAATAATCACTCTAAATGTTGGTGGTCTGAAATGAACTCTTTTATAAAAGGACACAAAACATCTCGCTGCCTTAGGAAACAGATCCAATCTTCTGCTTCCTCCAAGAAACACACTTAAATTCCAAGGATAAACATAGACTCAAAGTAAAGGGCTAGAAAACAATTATATATGCAATGGAACGAGGATAGTTTGTTCAATAAATGGTTCTGGGGTAACTACCACACATGTAAAAGAATGAAACTAGACTACTATCTATACCATGTGCCAAAATCATCTCAAAATGGACAAAAGAACTGAACCTAAGACTGAAACCATAAAATACATAAAAGAAACATAGGTAAAACACTACAGGACAAAGTAACATCTTCAAAGACTAATCCCCAAAACAAAGAAAGTAAAGGAAAAGATATAAAGAGCTGGGATTACATCAGCTGTGCAGCAAGAGACATTAACCAAAACAATGAGGCACCCTACTGATTAGAAAAAAATTTTTTGCAAACTACACAACTGCTAAGGCACTGATCACAAAGATCTACAAAGAACTCACAAGACTCAACAAAAATAATCAAAAAATGGGCAGAACTTAAAAGACACTTCTGCAAAGAGGAAATGCAAATGGCCAACAGACATAAAAAATATTCAGCATCTCTTATAATGAGGGAAATGCAAATCAAAAACATAATAAGATACTGAATGGCACATGCTCAGTGAAATAAGTCAGAAGGAAAAAGAAAAATATTGATGGTTTCACTTATAGGAGGAATATAGGGAAACCAAATAAGGGATCGGGGAAAAAATAAAAACAATAAATAAAACAACAAAAACAAGCAGACAACTATAAATCAATGACATTCTGCAAGGGAAGGAGGGAGAAGGCTCAAAACGAGGGTGGGAAGAACACTAGGGGCTATGGTGATGGTGTACTGGTGAATCAGTGGTGGAAATACAAATGAGGATTATACCTGAGAAAACAAAGTAAGCAACGAAAAAAATGTATGTATTCATTAATTAATAAAAACCAAACAATTCTACGAGTAAGTGCTTCTATCAGATAAAACAGACTTCCATCTTAAAAAGGTAATAAAAAACAGATATAGATACTATATAATAATTAAGGGAACAATGTAATAGGAAGAGGTAACATTCATCAATATGCTTACCAAATGAAGAAACATGAAAATAGATTATTACTAACAAATCTAAAAACAGACATTGGCGCAAATACATATATGGTGGGGAAAAGAACAAAAAAATCCAAAGAAAATAATAAAAATCAGAACAGAAATAAACGAAATAGAAATCAAAGACCATCCAAAAGATAAATGAAATAAAAATCTGGTTCTCAAAAAAGTTAAATAAAAAAGTTGCAACACTGCAGATATTCATAAGATAAGACCAAGTACTATGAATATTTATATGCAAACAAGTTTAACAACAAGGAAGAGATAGTCTTAGAATTATAGTCATCCAAGGCTGAATAGGGAATAAACAGAAACCCCAAACAAACCAATTACAAGGAAGGAAATTTAAAACAGTAACCAAGGCCCTCCTTGGTGGCACAACGGGTTAAAGTACAGCACTAACTATGAAGCTATCTACAGCCACTGCAGCACCAGTTCAATCCCCGCCAGGGAGGTGACCCACATGGCCCAGCATGGAGGTATGAGGAGACGCACAATGGTGGGAAAACTATACAGTGATTACACCTGAGGGGGAAACCCTATGCTGTGAAAAAATTAACAAAGATGTAAGAAAAAGGTACTTCATTAAAGAGTCAATTTAAGGCCCTCCCTGGTGGCGCAGCGGGTTAAAGCACAGCACTGAGAAGCTAAAGCCACTTCCGCATGAGTTTGATCCCAGCCTGCCCCGGAGGTGACCACATGGCATGGCAGACCTCTCCTGACCAGCCCACTGCTCCCCTCAGCAGTGTACTTCATAGATCTGCCTGTTCTGTTCCCCACTCTGTCTCTGGTGAAGCCTCTCACCGCCCCTGAGCCTCTGGCCTGTACCCCAGTTTGTATGAACAAATAAATAAATCTTTAAAAAAAAAAGTCTATTTAAAAAAAATAAGCTGCCTTGCTTAAAGACCATGTAACTACTAAGATGCTTTACCACTTGGATAATTCTCTAGGTCACTATATTTATACTCAAAATGTTTCATACAAAACTTTCATGTCCTAATTCTTTCTAAAATCAAGATTATGGTGTGTAATGTCAAAATGTATGAAAAGGGAAAGTTGATGCCATATTTTAAAAAACTCTTTTAGAGAAATTTGAAATCAGTGACCATGAAAATGACAAAAATCACTAAGTATGAAAACACCCTGGAAGTCAAAAAGGGCAAAGAAATTAAATTTCAGCTTGCTTAAAAAAAAAAATTGTACATTTCCATTTCAGGCATCATCGCAAACCAGCTATCCTGACTGAAATGTCTAACAACCAATAATGCTGGATAAAATAAAATAAAAACTTTAAACTTCACCAATATGCTGACAAAAAAGTAACCAAAATCAATAAACTCAAGGAAAATCCAGACAGACAGGCAAAATGAGCTTCAGGCTTATAAACTTAGAGGAAGAACCGAAGCCTCAGGTCGACTTCTTAAACCAAACTTATGACCCATCAAAGCTATTATTTTTATATAAGGGAAAACTAGAGAGCCCTCCCTGGTGGTGCAGCGGGTTAAAGCACTAAGAAGCTAAAGCCACTTCCGCAAGAGTTCAATTCCCGCCTGCCCCAGAGGAAATCCACCTGGCACCTCAGACCTCTCCTAAACCCCCCCCCACCCCCGCTGCTCCCCTCAGCGGTGTACTCCATGGATCTGCCTGTTCTGCTCCCCTCTCTGTCTCTGGTGAATCCTCTCACCCTCCACATCTCTGGCCTGTATCCCAGTTCCATATCAATAAATAAATCTTTATTAAAAAAAAAAAAGAAAACTAGAAAGCTGTCTCTCAAACAAATAAAGAAAAAAAACTTTACTAGTCTAGAATTTTACACACTGGGGGGAAAGCGGGAAGTATAAGAAGAGATTTCTTTTATGTTAACTGTATTTCAAGGAGGAAGACAGAAACAAAACAATTCCCTTCTTGAATTAATCCTCCTTCAATGCAGACTTCAAAGAATTTCTAGAAACAAATTTTTAACAAATATGAGTTAGAAAGCTATTATGGCTGAAAAACATGACCTAATGAGGGCAGGAAGCACTAGTTAACTAAGAAGCTTCACAAATTTGAATTAGTAGTTGTTTAAAAAGTACATGTCAAAAAAGAAATCAAAATGTAATTGAAAATATTTTCTAAAATCAAAAAAAAATTAAAAAGGAAACCTGCATGCCTACTTAAAAAAAAAAAGAAAATATTACTTCTCAAAACTTTTGATGACCAACTAAAGCAGATTTAGAAAGTCTCTGATACCATCTCTATAAATTTAAAACAAGTCATCCAGTGTTAGATATTAGTGTGGCCATAAACATTTAAAAAGTTTTAAGAATATGTATGGGAAGAATACACACTAAGTTCTTAATAGTATTTATCTCTAAGACACAAAGGAGAGACAAATGATTTTGGGGGCTCTCCTGGTGGCACAACAGGTTAAAGCACAGCACTATAAAGCTATAGGCAGCCACTGCATCATGAGTTCTATTCCCTGCCAAGTATGTTATCAATTTGGCCTGGCAGACCTCTCCTGACCTGCCCACTGCTCACCTCAGTGGTGTGTTCCAGGACATCTGTTTGTTCTGTTCCTCATGCTGTCTCTGGTAAATCCCCTCATACTCCTGTACCTCTGGCCTATACCCCCGTTTATGTATGGATAAATAAATAATTACATAAAAAACAACAAAGAAAAAATGATTTTGAGTGGAAACACATACTTTACCTACTGATTATTTCTACAAATAACAATATTGATAAAAATAATTACACCTGAAATAAATGTGGCAAACTGATCTATTAGGTCTTGGTGATTATTTTCCACAATTATATGTAAGTTAAGTTTTTCACATTTTAAGAGTTTTAAAGATGTCATCATCTACTGGAATTAAATGCAAAGATGTCTAAAAAATTTTTTTTTTTAATTTCTGGATATTTATGCTACCAGTATCTTCTAAATGCATAATTCAGAAACACCTACAGGACGGGAAACCAATATTTTAAATATTTTAAATATAACACCACACAAGTTTAATTTATATGAAGTAAAATACTCACATAGTAGTTGTCATTTATTTGAACCATTGGTGCATTTACACAGGCTCCTAAACATTCCACCTCTATAAGAGTGAAAAGTTTGTCAGGTGTTGTCTCCCCAACTTTTATTCCTAAAAATATAAATAATTACTGTAAGGGCAAACTTTATTTTAATGGTGAAATAGACAACAACATAATAGAGATAAAACGTATTAAGCGCATCAAATTTCTTAAAGTAATCTGTGTTATTATAGAACAAAGATTTATATAAACTTGTTTCTTTAAAAACTATCAAATTTCAGGGCCCTCCCTGGTGGCGCAGCGGGTTAAAGCACAGCACTAAGAAGCTTAAGCCACTTCCACATGAGTTCAATTCCTGCCTGCCCCAGAGGAGATCCACATGGCACAGCAGACCTCTACTGACCCACCCGCTGTTCCCCTCAGCAGTGTACTTCGTAGATCTGCCTGCTCTGCTTTGTCTCTGGTGAATCCTCTCACCCTCCACATCTCTAGCCTGTACCCCAGTTCTGTCTGAATAAATAAAAAAATCTTAAAAAACAATCAAATTTCAAGGGCTCATTTCCAGTATTTGTTGCTATACAGCAGTACATCAGACTGTAGTTTTGATGGCTATAATTAACCTACTAAAGTCAGCTACTATCATATTAGCTAATTTCCAAAACTTATTAATATTATGAGGAAATTAGGTACTCTCTGATCTTTTGAGAAGGCATTTGGGGAAACTATAATAAACTATTTCTTGTAAACTTCAGTATACAACAGTACATATATACAAAGACGCAGATACATGAAAGTAACTGCAGAATAACTTTTAATAGAAAAATGTGGTAGACATACACTATGCTATAATCAAAATAAAGCACAAAAACAAAAGACAAATCATTAATGTACATAATTAAAACAACTGAAATGACATAAAATCTGAAACTAATATATCTAGTTATTACCAGAATTTGTACCTCAGTAGAGGTTTGAGCAGACATCAGTTTTCTGTTTTATATATTTCAACACTGCCCAACAATTTTCAAAGCATGCAAGTAACTTTATATTTAGCACACCAAAATCAAGGCAACTATTTTCATTTGACATATAGTTATAAATGTAACAATGGCATTTTCCTATGGAAAAGTGTCCTTTTATTTTATAAATGCCACTTAACATCTTATTTAAAATGTCCCTTCCTGAAACAATCTTTCTATTCTTACATCTTGTTTCAAGAATCATTTTGAAAAACATATGGACAAGGTCCTCCCTGATGACGCAATGGGTTAGAGCATAGCACTATGAAGCTATCTGCAGCCACTGCAGTATGAGTTCGATCCCCAACCATGGAAGTGAACCACATGGCATGGCAGACCTCTCTTGACCCCTTGCTACCGCCTCAGCAGTGTACTTTGGTAGATCTGCCTGTTCTGTTCCCCACTCTGTCTCTTGTGAATCCTCTCAAACTGCCCCCCCCCACCCACCCACACACAACTCTGGCCTGTACCTCAGTTCTGTACACATAAAAATAAATAAATCTTAAAAAAACATGGACAATACAATTACTTTTCTATCACAGACTTTCACATAATAAGTACAATTTGCTTTTAAGACAATGAAAACTGGGGCCCTCCCTGATGGTGCAGCGGATTAAATACAAAATAAGAGGAAATAAAGATGGGTTAACATAGTAAGAGAGCACGGGTTAAGTACAGACCTAAAAAATGAAACAGGAGGAATTAAGATTAAATCTAGAAAGACAATTCTATTTTTCATGAAAGGTATAAATATAATGTGCCTCGTACCAAGTTTTTTCTGAATGGCCTCGAGTATGCTGTCAGAGTTACGAAGCATGCAAGGTGTAGTAGTGCAGACTTGTATGTGATACTTTCCAACTGGTTTTCGGTTATACATAGTATAAAAAGTTGCCACTTCATATACTCTCATTGGAGGTACTTGTAAAACTTCTGCAACCTAAAACATTAGGAAATTTGTTGGTAACATAATTACTATGTTTACTGAACTTTAAGTTGTAAAAAGCATAATTTCAGGTGAAAACAGAAAACAATTTCAAAAACAGAAAATAAACCTATATTTGACATATACCTTCAATTTTTACAGATACTTTTATATTTAAATACACACAGCCCAGGTATAATAGTTACAGCACTTCCTTTGCCCGTTTTTACTTCACCCTTTATCTTTGTAAAATCATCTTTTTCTTTTTAATTCAAGTCTTTCACTATGAAGAATTTTTTATCACATCAACTTTTGTGTTATGCAATTTCATTTTATAAACAGCAATAAGTTAGTGACCAAATCCCAATAAATTAAATAATTATATATATTAAACCTTCCACTGATTTTGAAAGATAGCATTGATGGTGCTAGAGTACTGGTACACTAAGTGCACAAAGTATGGCCCCCCC